AATTACAATGTTAACAAAAATATTAAAGGAAACTGTAAAAAAATTGATGGACCTCATAGGCAACCATCAGTTACTCTCAACAAACGATGTATTAAGACCATGGTTTCCTCAATCCATAAATCTGTTGGTAAAACTGAACTAACAGCAATACTATTCCTAGATTTAATTAAGTCATCTGATACCAGTGGCGGCTCGTAAAATGCGAAGGTAAAGGGCGCCAATTGGCTTGTGGGTGAGGATTATGGAAAATTTGTTATTTTATTCATTTTTTTATTTTTTTATTACCACAAAAAAATACCACAATACCCACTGCGCCTTATCAATATGTAACGAATTAAATTTTTCCTTCATCGGTTTTGTTTCAATTTTTCATTTTTAATAAATAATATGCGCGCTCGAAATATTTATCCAAAGCGAATATCGTATTTGATCAGCTGCGCGAGATCGATCGACGTATTGATGCGCGTTGTAGACCGTCAGATAGTGACAGCTTTAGGTGCCCCATTTTCGCATACAAGCCTCGAAGAGGGCTGAAAAGTATATAGATTTTAAGTAGATTAAAAGGAAATTTACGAGTGGCTCCTGGGGTTAACACATGAAAAATTCAATTTTCCCTAACACAAATGAAAGGTTATTTGTTGCCCATATTTCCACGCAAGCTGTTTTCACTTTAGAGTCATTTCATTTAAAATCGTCCAATTGGCAAAGCTGACCCATCTTAGATTTTGGTGTAACTTCGAAGAAGAAAATTTACACGAGTTTGATTTTTATAAGCACTCGTTTCCGCCTATTTATATAAAGACTTTAAAAAATCGATATTTTTAAGCTATATCGACTTTTCCTCTGAAATTTTTCTTTTTGAAGATAACTACATTATTAAAGCGGATTCTGAGGGGGAAAGATAGTAGTTTAAGTGTAAGCATCGATAATTTGCTCAGTCAATACCTCTGATTAACGGCAGCGTGCTGAAAATGAGTGTTTTTTAATCATTTTTCGTGAATTTCAATCGACTCTAGCATCTTAACTGCTTAGACTTATCAGCTTATGTTCCTCAAGAATTAAGTGTATATATCATAGGTAAAATACAGCCACAAGTCAATCTGAGCAGCCCACTCTTTGCAAAAAACACTTTGCTTGAAGTTTTGAAATTTTCAAAAATTGCATTATTCAGGTTATATAATTAAGGTGTTGACTGCCACATAAAAATCTGAAACTCTCAAAATCTACTGTTCTTACCTTTAACTTTAAATGACCGTACCACTTGTTTGTTATTTTTATGTTTAGTGCATGTGAAAGTCGTTTTTTGCAGCAAAAATCAACTCAATTTTTTTATTTTATAATCCTATAAATTCAGTTTTTCTTGATGTTTTTTTTATAAAGATATATTAGAATCCCATTCATAAGTCGAAATTTTTTTCAAAATAGAAGCATTTAGTAATTTGGAAAGAAATAAAAAATTGAGAAAAGTTTTTTTCTGCAAAGAGTGGGCTGCTCAGTTTGACTTGTGGCTGTATTTTATCTATGATATATACCCTTAATTTCTGAGGAACATAAGCTTCTAAGTCTAAGCAGTTAAGATGCTAGAGTCGATTGAAATTCACGAAAATTATCAAAAAACACTCATTTTCAGCAAGCTGCCGTTAATCAGAGGTATTGACTGAGCAAATTATCGATGCATACACTTAAACTACTATCTTTCCCTCTCAGAATTTCGCTTTAATAATGTAGTTATCTTCAAAACGAAAAATTTCAGAGGAAAAGTCGATAAGGCTTAAAAATATCGATTTTTTAAAATCTTTATTTAAATAGGTAAAAAGGAGTGATTATAAAAATCAAACTCATGTAAATTTTCTTCTTTGGGACCCTAAGGAATAGTTCCTCAAAGTTACACCAAAATCTAAAATGGATCAGAAACAATTTTATTTTTATTTTCAGACGATTTTATATGGAATAACTCTATATGATTAATTAATAGAACTAGGCTTCGGTTTCTCTGTTGCTTATCGAAGCTTGGCTACGAATTCTTCTTTCTAACTCAACCATTTTAATTCTAATTTGCCTTTCGAACTCTACTCTAGCCTTTTCCTGTTATTTTAAAATCTCTCGTTGTTGTTTTAAATTAGTTTTAAATGCCCTTGCTGCTGTTCTAAATTAGCTTTTAGATGCTCTTGTTGTTGCTCTAACAGATCTACCCTTATTTTAAGCTGACTAACCTCTTGCTTGAAGTTTTCTGGAATTTGTACTAAGCCCTCTATAATTTCCGCCTCTGCTTTTCTATACCTCTCCTCGTTCTCCTCTTCTCGTCTTTCTTTCTTCTCTTCTTCCTTCCTAAGACTCCAGTAACGAGTTAGATAGGGGGGTAAGACTTATGATGCTCACTTTATATACTTAACGTACGGAAACAAAAAAACCAATGAAAAATAATAGGTACCTACTTCATTTAGAACAGTCTGAATCAGTTAATTCAAATACGTTGTGTTTGGCATGCATTTTCTTTTTATGTTGCCCTATTAATTCTTTGTTGCATTTTAAATAAAAACAAACCTACAATAGTGGTCGCTTATTACGCTGCTTTTACTGCAGAAACTTTACTAGAGAAAATATTCTTTAACCATTTGCTAAAGAATGAAGCAAACTTAATAAATTATATTCGGAAGGCCAAATTCTGGACCTTAGTCAAATAATAAATGATTTAATAGAATCAAAAATACCCTAAAATGTAATATATTACGTCACCTTGTGATAAAATGTTAATTTCAAAACATTTATAATTTTGACCAGTTCAGAGAAATTTAACACCAAACATTACTTACCTTTAAAAATTAAAAAAAGAAATGATCACATTGACCATAGTTTTCTTAGTCGTGAATTCGACTTTTCTAATAGACACCTTTGGGATATTAATGTTCTAGGAGAGTTGGGCACCAATAATTCTCTGTTTTTATTTTTGAAAGCTAGTGAGAATTATAAACTCTAGCTTTATTAAAAAGAAATTAATAAAAACTTATACAAAATTTAATTTGAGTAGAAGAGAATTGTTGTAACCTTTAACAAAATAAGATTTAACATATATACTTATAAAAATGAATTAGTTTATTCAAATGAAAAAGAAACTAGCCACTATTAGTTACCACATTTGATTTGGGCTGGCAACTTCCTTAGGTTGCAGTCGAAAATTCTACGACTCGGGAACGAACACCAAATCTCGCATTTCCCATGATTCTGCTACTCGAGCATGAACAGCATACCTCGTTCTGTCGTTCTCGTTCTTACGTGTACTTTTAGCTTTTAGCTTGTGACTTTAAACGTTTAGCTTTCAGCGGTTAGATTTCAACAGTTAGTTTTTATCAGTTAGTTTTCAACGGTTAGTTTCCAGCTGCTCTTATTCGTTTTCTAAACAAACAAAAAATCCGGTTTTTCACGTGGCTCTTGTATGAGATATAAATTAAATTTCAAACATCTACTTTTTAAAATTAAATCAAGATACAATAAAAACTAATTACTATGAACATTGTGCAATTCCAGCAACCAGAATGAATTATAAAAACATATTTAGAAAAATTTAACTTTACGTCCAAAAAAACTAATAACTAACAACAGGTTGGAATATTATTTCTACCGAGATATTTTTACAATGACATTATACTTTTTTATGCTAACCACTTTTACAGCCAAACACTACCAGATACGAAGAGGTAGTAATCATAAATGAAATTTAAAAATCTAATGGCGAAATCTTTTGATTTACTGTACTTCACGAAATTTCCCTTTCTTTGGAACATTGCGTGCGGCGATAATTAAATTTAAATTAATCGAAAACTATTTATACAGGATGTCACACATTTAAAATAACATTTTTAACTGGACTTTTAAAATGTTACAAAAATTGTAAATTTATACTTATAGGCTGTATAAAGATATATGAGTATAATTTTCATGTGATCAAAAATATAGGTAGATGATGTCCGGCTTTGTTAATTTTTCCAATGAAGTCAATCATTTAATTAATTTTTTCCTACACTGCACGTCTGTTATTGTTATTTAATTGGTTTAACTTTATTATATTCTATTTTAGTGTGTGTATATGTCTATGTATATGTTTATAATTATTGTACTTATAATTTTCCTACCTTTAGAGTGTAAAATATAGTAAATTTTGCTTGATAGTTCTAGTAAAATAAGATGTGACTATTCTAGTCACAAACTAATTATTTTAATAACTTTTATTTTCTTCTTGAAACAAGTGATTTATCACTTATCGAGTAGCTTATTCATACCAAACTTATTAGTTTTTATTGTATTTTAATTTTGTTTAAACTGTAATGTATATTTTGGATGAATAAATTATTATTAAGAACAAAATTTGCGAAAGTCGGAGAAAACAGTAGATTTAATTCCTAAAACAGGAGAACAGATACACAAACAGTGGATCTACTTAAAAACAGTATGTCTGGCAACGCTGATGGTTCTCTAGAATGGTTGTTTATGGGTGTCGTGTCTCCTGTCTCCTTGCTTCCCAAATGTGCGGAGGGTATTGTCTAGTTTGCTGTCGCGGCGCGTTTTGAAGTCGGTCTCTGCTTTGTCTTGCGAAATAGTAGCTTTATAGTTTATAAAAAAATAAAGGTACTTTTTCTAATAAACTAGGATCCAATTTTAAATTCTGTTGATTAAGTTTTCAGCGACGTGCAAAATTGTTTACTCGAAAATAAAGTAACCGAATGAATTTCATTTTCATTTTTTGTCCAATATTTTGAACCTCCATGTAGATATCAAAGGTTTCTTGGCACCATTTTAATGAACATAAAACCGCGCAACTTTTGTTTAATTTAACCAACTTTCTATCTGTTTCAAAAATAGCATTACTGTCCCTATGTAATAGTAAAGACCCTGTATAATGAATTTCATTTAATGCTTATATAAATAGGTTTCTCTTTGCACTGAGAGAAGCCCTTATAGAGAAGTCGCCATTAGATAAACTTTAAAGTAACCATTTGTTTCAGAAAAAAAGCAGAATTTCAGATGGAAGGACATTTTTTGGTTAGACAAATCTACGAAGATGAAGTAACTTACAATATCATAGGCGCAGCTGTGGAAATACTAAGCAAGTTTAAATCACATGCTTAAAATTGTTTTTATTTATTTAATCCTTTTAATTTTTAGAAATACCCGCTAATGCTATTTTAGAACTTTTTGGGAAAACTTTCTTTGAATTTTGCCAGGATTCTGGTTATGATAAAATATTGCAAGTATTAGGTGCCACTCCAAGAGATTTTTTGACGGTACGTTTTTCATTTAATGCATGTTATAATAAACAAATTCTCTTAAGTTTTGAAAAGGTTATGAAAATTAGATTGAAGTAATTTTTTTAATGTTCATAACATTGCTGATAAAACAACTTAGTTTAGGTGTATACATCTAATATGTTAGTCTCAGTTTTTGTTTGATATTTATTCATGTGTGCTGAGTAGAAATTTTTACTGTTTCCCAACGTCACTTCAGAAAAGCAGTGTTAATTCGAATCCAACAGTGAATGGCAGACGTGAAGAATCTTACCTAGGCATCAGAATTATTTTTAAATAAAAAAATCCCGGCCAACGGTGGGATTCGAACCGAGGAACCTTGAATTCGCAAGGTTAGACTCTACCACTGAGCCATCCACCCCCCATATATAACAACTTGAGTTTCGTACAGGCATTTCTACAGAAAATGCAATATTAGACAACTAAAAAGTTGTACAAGACTGTTGACGGAGCTATTTGTCCATAGGAGTGTTAATCGATCTTTCAAAGGCGTTCGATACTGTGAACCACTCATAGGTATTGCAATTTTTGCAGTATGTACGAGCCCCTTTCCATTTTAGTTGACCCACCTATTGATATTTTCTTTATATAACGACAATAAGAAAGTATTGAAGATTACATGCTTTTTTATATCATAAATTAATTAACAATTTAGAATTATATTAGAACTAAAACTAGAAAACATCAATTTTTATATTTATTTTTAAATTTATTAACACATGGAGCATTATTGCATTATTTCAACTTGAATTCAATTCGTTAGAAAATAAACCAAAATCGAAGGTAGCTTTGAAAAAATAACAAACAATAATGCAAATAACTATCACAAGACAATTTAACCTCTTTTAAGCTCTGTCTAATAAAATGGGCGGAGGAAAAATCATTGACGAAAAAATACGTTTTCTTGTTATAAAACATTGCAATTCTGGAAAATCGAACTCGTAAATTGCAAATATATTAGATTTATCACGATATAGTGTAATAAATATAGTTAGAAGATACAAAACTACTGGTTCACTCAGCCCAAAGCCCCGTCATGTTAGAAAAAGCAAGATTACAAATGCCGATAGACGAGCATTGAGAAGAATTATTGAAACCAACCGTCGTGCTAATTACCTTGAATTAAGTGCTCAGTGGAGTAATGCTGTTGGAACATAAATTTTGAGATCTTCATGTAATACGGAAGCTCGCAAATTGGGATTTGAGACTTACAAAGTAAGTTTTAAATAATAAAAACAATAAAAAACATGGATTGAAGACACTAAAACAATCAAATATGTTTGCTTAAAATTGACAATATTGTTAAGGTTAAAGAAAAACCACTACTAACTGCGAAACAGAAAACAAATCGATTAAGATGGGCAAAAGAACATATGAGTTGAACCATCAATGGGATGCAATACAATGGAGTGACGAGGCCCGATTCGAAGTTTGTGTTGGAGATAGCAGAACTCAAGTTATTCGCAAAAAAACATGAAGCATTCCATCCAGACTGTCTCGAAAGAAAATTTCCCGTATCGGTCATGGTCTGGGGCAGCATGTCATCGAAAGGAATAGGGAAACTGCATTTTATTGAAGGAATTGTAAATACAAATAAATATTTGGACATTTTGGAGGAATCACTTTTACCGACTATGGAATTATATTTGACATCAGGGAAAGATTTTGTATTTCAACAAGATGGAGCAGGGTGTCACACGTCAAAAAAAGCTCTAAAATGGATGGAAGACTTTGATGTTCCACTTTTGGAATGGGTTTATAGTAGTCCTGATTTATCACCAATAGAAACATTGTGGCATGAGATGAAAAAGTTACTTCGAAAACATTCTGCAAGAACAATATCTGAACTTAAACAAAAACTTTAAGATATATGAGATTCGTTTACACCAGAATTTTGCCAAGGCTTAGTTAATACCATGCCGCAAAGAATTTCAGCTGTAATAAAAAATAAAGGTGACGTTACTCAATGGTAAAGTTTAAAATTGATTAACGTTTGGTTCCAACTATTTGTTTAGTTTTTTTTTTAATTTTATGTTAAATAAATATTTTAATGTTTTCTACATATTTTTTGTGATTAAACGATATTAAACATATTGTTCAACGAATAAAAATTGGAAAGTTCATGCAATATTTATATTTTTAATCTTTAAATATGAATTTCCTAAATTTCAATAGGTGGGCCAACTGAAATGGGAAGGGGCTCGTATACATCAATGATAATATCTATAGCAAAAAAAAACTGGGCACAAACGTCTATTTTTTGGACCTACATTTTTAAATTTCTTTTTCAACTTTCAATTCAATAGTTAATTCTAGGAAATAATTAAATCATTTTTATTAATTATAACCATGTATGTATGCATATATCGGGTGTTCAAATAAAGTGTTACAGCTAAATACCGCCTTTTAGAAAAAAAAAACGTTTCAGACGAAAGTTTTATAATTTTGTGGAGAAAAAATTTTGGCCAAGATCGTTTTTTATAGCTAACCATAATATGGCCAAATTTTTTTTCGCCCAGCAAAATTTTCAAGTAGCTGTTACTCAAAAAGTAAAAGTCCAATAAAAAAAATATTTTTATCAAAAGTTTCTTATTTTTTTATGTACTTTAAGAATATGTAAAAAAAATGGGATTCTCATTTGAAAAACAAAGTCCACCTCGATATGGCCATATTATGGTCAGCTATAAAAAAATGAATTTAGCCAAAATGTTTCCCCCAAAAAACTATAAAACTTTTGTCTGAAACTTTTTTTTCTAAAATGCATATTTTCGGCGGTATTTAACTGTAACACTTTAATTTGAACACCTGGTATAATGTTAGTAAAAATTAAATAAACAAATTAATCAAACCCACAGACAGCATTGACGTCATGAAATTTAATTCTTTCTTGGTGTCAATTTTGTGGACTCAATTTTAATGTTAATTTATGTTGAATTGTAATAATTGATGCAAGAAAACTTAAATTCGAACAAAATTCGTATGCATTAAAAATTTTAAAATAAAGATCTAATGATCATGTAAATAAAATAATATAGAAACCATATTCCCAACTAGTGTCTGTCTATTGTCTGCTAACGTCAGTTACATGAACTTATAAGTGAAGAGGAAACCTAATATCCCGAGACAATTAAATAAGCTTGTTTGCGGTTGCGAAAGAATGAGCGTCTCGAATTTAATTATATTCCGAGGCAATTTTCATCTATCTGAGGAGCTTCTACCGCAATTGACAAGACATTTTCTGGCAACAAAACAGCTGGGACACAATCTGAGACTTTCATAGATGTCATAGACGGTCAGAAATACTGATGATGTTGAATGCGAATCAGTTTGATGTATATATTTTTTAATTTTGTTACGATTTGTTTTTTGTTAATATACAGGATAAATCCTGAGTTGATACTGTTTATTAAAATAAATAACTTTTCAAAAATATCAAAAATAAGAAACTTACAAAAATTTACTTCAAAATGTATCCAATGAGGTCCATTAACCTCAAAAAAACGCACTTTAGATTATATATAGATGATGTTTATTGTTGTGTGTAATTCTCATCTCATAATTTTTTATTAGTTTATTTTGTAACTATTCTTTTTTTTTACTTGTTATACACTGTAAAGCTATTCTGATATAATTTATGGCTGTATTAATTTAATTCAAAACTGGTAAATTTAGGACGCCTATGTTATATCTAAATGATTTTTTTAGGGTATCGCTTAGTTTAATAATTTTTAACTTCAGTACACTATGCGATTTTCCTAGCGTAATTATTTTTGTTTTCTCCTTTCCTTTTTCTGTTTCCATACTTTTAAGAGCAGCTGCAACTCGTGCATACACAGATGAAAATGGTATCGAAGTTTAGATATTTTTTTCCTACTTGTTAATGTGCTCCAACAAAATGAAGATAATTTTTTTCCAAACTACTAATATCACAGGCCAACAAAAGAAAAAATGTTTTTTGGTGCCGAAAATCCAAGAACTGATTTTAGATATATTTATTGTGCTGATTCTAAAACTACCAGCAGATTTTTTCTATCAGCTTTAGCTTTTGAGATACAAGCTAATTGAATTTAATTTTAATAAGGCAAAAATAAATAAATATCTCTTTAAAGTTCAAAATAGAAATTTTGTACAAAAAATGAGACTCTAATTAGCCAAATATATTCCTGGAATTGTCTGTGAACTAACCTTCCTATAACTGGTTAACCGGCATTACTTAATAGTGTGCACTGAGTAAACCATTCAGATGTTTTTTGTTATGTATGTGGCGAATACATTTTAAAAGAAAGTAGAAAAACTATTTCTGACTTTGTGAAAAGGGCTTATCTTGTCCCTTTTGGCCTTCATTTGGGAGACCAGGATAAATCTTGGACTCCACATATCATGTGTAAAACATGTGTTGAACATTTATAACAGTGGATAAGTTCCTAAAGTTTGGTGTACTAATGGTTTGGAGGGAAACACGAAACCATTATGATGACTGCTATTTTTGTCTCCTTAATATTAAAGGCATGAATAGGAACAATAAACAAAAATTAACATATCCTGATTTAGATTCTGCAGAAATACCTGTACTGCACTAAAAAGAAATACCTATCCAGATTTAAGGAAAAGAACCTTCTTTATCCAGGTACTAATATTACATTTTATCGTAAAAGAGATACGGATCTGCTGCCTGTTTTATTCGGGAAAATAACCTGGTATTTTGTAACGATATAAAGGGAGTCCTAGAAAAAATGGGTTTGTTACAATACATTCCAGACGATTGTTATCTTTTTATTAACAGTTCAAAAAGTAGAATAAAATGTGTCCTTTTACATAATGGTAACAAATATGCCTCAATTCCTATTGGTCATTCTACTACCATGAAATAGGAATATGAAACAGCACTATTAAAAAAAAAATAAATACTATGAACATCAGTGATTGTGTTGATTTATACATGGTAAACTTCCTCTTTGGACATCAAAGTAAATATACAAAATACCCTTCTTTTTTGTTTTTGGGATAGTAGAGCTAAAAATCAGCACTGGGTTAACATTAATTGGGCTTTAGAGATGTTCTAGTTTGAGGAAAATAAAACGTAATCAACGAATTTTTGGTTATGAGAGAAAAAGCTTACTACCACCCTTGCATATTAAATTGGGGCTTAGGAAGCAATTTGTTAAAGCTTTAAAACGAGAAGGAAATTGTTTTGGATACTTGTCACGTAAGTTTTCTGGGATTAGCACCACGAAAAACAGAAAGCTGGTATATTTGATGGTCCTCAAATATGGTAACTTATTAAAGATTTACAATTTACCACATTAATGAATAAGACTAAATCTAATCATTGGTATTCATTTTTTCAAGAAGTACAAAATTTTCTTGGGAATCATAAAGCACAGAATTGCATAGAAATAGTGAAAACTATGATTTCAAATTTTAATATTCTTGGTTGTAACATGAGCATAAATGTTAACTACCTCCACAACCACCTAGATCGCTTTCCAGAAAATTTAGGTGATTGTAGTTAGGAATAGGGAGTAAGATTCCATCAGGACATTAAAACTATGAAAGATCGATATCAAGGACGATGGGATAGCCACATTATGGCCGACTACTGATAGAGCCTTTAGCGAAACTGCTCTAGTAGACTCCATGATAGAAAGTCGTATAAAATAAAATGTTTAGGTGTTAAGTGACTAATGTGAGTATGAATGTATGTGAATTTATTTTTGTTATAAATACTTATTTGCTTTTTTTTTGGTAACTGGCAATAGGTAAAAAATAGTAAATATTGTCTATCTTATAAACTAGATCTGATTCTGTATCAAAAACTTACCTAGGAACAGTTAAAATACCGTACCAAAATGTATGTTGGCTTGTGATTTTTGTCTACACCTTCTGTTTTTTCTTTTATAGAATTTAGATGCCCTTCATGATCATTTAGGCACACTGTACCCTGGAATGAGAGCACCTTCATTCCGTTGCACCGAAAGACCAGAGGATGGCGCTCTCATTTTGCATTACTATTCTGATAGGCCAGGACTGGAACATATTGTTATTGGAATTGTAAAGGTTTGTGAATAGTTTGTGTTTCTAATAACTAGCATAATACAATTTCACAGTAACAAAGGAAATATTATATTAATAATAATATTTCTAGGAAAAAATATTCTCACCTATTTTGAAAAAATATTTTACAATGTGAACAGAATTTTAATAAACAAAATTTGCTTTCCGTAAGATCAAGACGAAATTAATTTCAATTCTTTCTTTACAATGTAGGTATATTGGAACAACCCAAACGATTTTTGTCTATTTTTAGTCACTTCACAATGAAGTTTCGTGGGATACAATGTTTTGATTGGCATGTATTGAAATAAAATAATATTTTAATTGCTTGAATATATTAGAGTGTAAAATATTCATTTAAAGTCAAATTGTATCACATGGCATACTAATAATAAACGTTGTTTACTGTTTTTAGACTGTCGCAAGTAGATTACACAACACTGAGGTGGATATAGAAGTTATAAAGACCAAAGAAGAATCCGATCACGTCCAGTTTTTGATCACTGAAAAGTCTGGACCAAGAAAGTCTCAACTACCCGAAATAGATGAAATCGAAACACTTTCTTTAGGTAAGTCTTTAACAAGAAACTACTAATATTCAGCCTCTAATTTCTAGTATAATAAAGGGTGTGGACAATAACGAGCAATTTTAAAAATATCTCTTCTATTAACCTCACAAGACAAAACGAACGTTGCGAGGTCTGGTAAACGGGAAGACCAGGTGATGTCCTGTGGGGTTTACAACCCCTTTATTTCTAAATGCTAATATACAAGAAACATTTCCGATAGCTTGTCTAGCATCTTCTAATGAAAAGGCGAGGTTGACGGGTGTTTTAAATTGTTTGTTATTCTGACCCACCCTGTACATTAAATGACATACAATGCTTAGATGCTGCCTTAATAAAAGCATCAGACTGTTAATTTATTAATGCACAAGCATTTTATGATAAATGATTGGGGAAAATGTAACAGATCTGAGAGTCGTCAGTAGAAAAATGAATTTTACATTTACCTAATAAACTTATTAATTTTAAAGTATACAGGGTTGCGAAAAAGTCTGGCAACAAGATATTTTAGGGTAGAAAGCATAGAGTTTTAAAAAATCTCTCGGACAGGTCAATTTTGTTCCCGACGGTGACATCTCTTGACATAAAAGCAATCATTATATTATTTCACCCCTTTGCTCAGTAACCCCAACTCTTAAAATTTGAATGGGAAAGGAAACAAGTCGACTTCATTTTTAATTGATTTCCTTTCCATTGGTATACAAATTTATATCTCAGACTTCGATTTTAGCGTCCTCTTGAGGAGAAAAAACAGTTATGTTATCCATATGAAAGCAAATTTGATTAGTAATTCAATGCATTAAATAACATTTAAATGTCTCTTAATTACCCTTGCAACAGAAATTAAGTTAGTATAATATTATTCATCGTAAAAACTTTAATTTTTATTTAAGTTTATTTTTTATTTTCTTGGGATGTATGTGGTGCGTTTTATATTTCTACTAAAATTGGCTTTCATATGTCGCATTTTGGATTACGTAACATTTTTCTCCCTCAAGAGGGCGCTAAAATTAAGGTGTATATAAATTTGGATACATTTGGAAAGAAAATTGAAAGCCCTTTAAAATGATGGCCCACTTTATCCCCCTTCTCTATTGAAATTTTATGGGTTGGGGTTGCTGAGCAAAGGGATAAAACGATACGATGTCAAAAGAGGTCCCCTTTGAGACCAAAAAACTGACCTGTCTGAGCAATATTCCAAAAATCTATTTTTTCTATTTGAAAATACCTTGTTGCCAGACGCCACCCCGTATATTGCTCACTTTATGTCTGATTACTTGACTTATTATGTAGGGCAATTTTCCATAAAATGAATTACACAAAATTTCAGAAACTGTGGTTATTTTTTTAAAAGCACAAAATTGTCCTTGCGAATTACGACTAATTGAGAACCATATTTATTTGGGCCCGATTTTCCTTTGTTTATTCAAGTTACTGCTTTTCCTGTTAACGCCGAATATAAGATCCTTTTCCCATATTGTTAGCAAACATTTAATAATATCTTCTGTCGGCTGGATTTAATTAAATCATATCCCAGAGCTCTTTCAAGTTCCACAGGGTAAAATTAAAGGATTATATTCAACATTGACATATTCCCGTTATTTGTTCGAATGCCCGGGTAGGATATATAAACGAAAGGTACTCATCTATTCATCAGCAGGCATCTCGTTGAGAACAAAGAAGATAATTGAATAAATTTATCTCTGCTGAATATTCGGGATATTACTAAAAGGTAATTCTGATAAAGTTTAATGATATTCTATTTATTTTGGAAAAGAAAATATGTCAAAGATAAATAAAAAGTAAGTTTCTAACTATTAAATTAGAATATTGTCCATATAAGTCTTTAATTACATTTAAAAAAATAATAAAGTTTGCGACCTTAAAAAGTCATCTTCAGACAAATTAAATGTTTGAGTACAATCTGCAGTAACTTAATATTATATATCTACATACAAAGTCAACTAGATATCTTACCACTATATGAAATTTATGGAATTGATAACACAATTTAAAATGTATAAAAAAGAGTTGTATGAATGTATCTTTTTTTTGAAAAATGATAAAAATAGGTATAATCCAATAGACATTGACCAGTAAACATACCTTTGAATCTGGTCTCCCTCCATCATATGAGGGCAACAAAGAAGTTAATGAAAATTGAAATCTCACAAGGGAGTAGATGATTCACTGTGAGAGGCGTATATTTAATACTAAAATAATTATAGCTAATCTGCCTATCCCAAGTGAGAAAAAGGTAGGCAGAATAAAATTTGTTGAATTTGTAGGTACCCATCTTCAAAAAGGGAATTGTTTAAAGTACACTTAATTCTTTAATTTCCTATAGAAAAATACATTTACACGTAGACTAAAGATTCAAAAGATAAAATTACTGATAGATCATAAATCGGAATGAAATAATACCTTAATGGATTTATTTTATCTCATTTTTCTCTCCGTGTTAACATTAAAATAAAACTAAACAAAACTGAATTTATTTCGTCCCTTTTGTAAAAATCCTTTTATCGTAATATATATTTTTTGGTTTAAATAAAGGATGGAGAAAATGTCCCAGATACTATTTGCTTTCTTATAATTTAGATAAGAACATTGCAATAAACCATATTTATGAGGTCAGCAGGTCATTTGGGAATTTGAGCCGGGCTGGGCTGACCGTGGATTACCCGAAAAGAATGCTTTTAAAAGTTTGACCTACTTCCAAAAGTAAAACTGATACACAAAAAGCCTCTAATCCTTTGGCATGTGTACGGAAACTTGAAATTTTCTATTTCGTTTAGCGATATTTCTAGAAAAATTAAGATTTATTACAAAAGTCATAAGAAGGAATTTTCTAAAGTAAACAAAAAAAAGGGATATTTAGGTCTCGTTCTTGGAATTTACGACATTTGACGTCTTTATTATATTGTGGGAAAACCGGAGAATAAACGTTTTAATGCCAAGTTGAATTTTTTCTCCGATGACTCTTAGACAACCTAAACCTCACATCGCAAAAGAATGAGCTGGGAAAAAATTGCAGAAGGTTATTTCGTCGTTATTTATAGCTTATATATAAGGTGTTCCAAAATTAGGGAAACATATTTTAAAAACGTATTTTACAAGTGAAAGTAAGTCGAAAAGTTGCTGTAAACATATATCCAAAAATGGGAACAACGCCAATTTGAAATGAACCCTGCTTTCGGACGATACAAATTTTGGATTTTTCATAAAATGGATATTTTAGTATGACAACTATAGTTCGGGAAACACTAATGCCGTCTTTTCAAAAGCTATGACAGGGTCGGCCCAGTAGTAGTCAATGTTAATAGAGCATGTATTCTTGATTGCATAATGAGAAACGTTTGTCCTTCTTGATATTTAATTGGACTGATTTATGCAGAAAGGAAACAACCCACAAATTTGTGATCTTTAGACTTTTGCATAATATTGCATTAAAAGCCGTAACATTTACTGCAAAAAAAGATCTATGCCACATTCTGTTAGCGACGGCTGGCAACAGCGTGCTTCATGAGAATTTACACTGCGATCTCAGTATTTTTCACACTATAGTTCAAATTTTTTATCCATCTAACTAGGAGATAGTGGTGTAAAAGTACTAAAACTGTTTATCCTCTACATCAGGGGTGGCCAACTTTTCTGTATATACGAGTACCTAAGATCAACTTTTTATCTTAAAAGTGTGTCGCTATTATGAAGACTAGAGATAAGGAGGCGAATCGGCAATGGCCAAATTTCAAATTTCCGTCCTTCTTTTTATAAATTTCACGAAATTGACTGTAGTTGGCATGTCTAATGACAACGCAGTCAATTTTCTATGTAAGTCAATGTAAAATAAAATGATTTTTTAAAAAATCGATGAAAAGAATCAAAATAATGTGAAAAAAAGTACCTGCGTACAAGAAACATGAGTGACGAAAACTATCAAAGCAAGATTTACGTCGTTTAAGATTGTGAAACAGGATAAAAATCAAATGTAAAACTAAAAAAAAACACAAGAAGAAATCAATTCAGTGTCTTTTTAAAGCTTTTAATATAAGTAAAATAATGTATTCATATTCATGTCTAAATATAATATTTATTGTAAACTAGTCACAATATGTATCTTACGATGTGTAGTTTATTTTATTATAAGTTTCTATAATATAAAATTTTACTGTTATAGATGCTGACTTACAAACAACAATAATTATGCATTAAATTTAACTTACTAGAAAAGAAAATTTATTTTTTATAGAGTTTTAATGTTAGATAATGAGTTGCTACTGTTATTTTTTTTTGGACCACAATTGTGTCATTGTAAATGTTTTTTATAGGATACTAAATGTTTAGAACAGTGACAGCATATATATCGTTGCTAATGCCGGTAAAGCACTCTGATGTTCTATACTTTTTAGAAGATATTATCAAATATTATGAGACTATTTTTACTGATAGTTCTGTTAGCAAAATAAAAAGGGGAAAGCTGAAATTAAAGGATGAGATTATACCATGTACATTCCCAAATTTCTCTTTATACTTGTATTAAGTACAACAATCTGTTAACTGTGTTTTATTTTACTCTTAAAACTATATATTGGAACAATTAAAAAAAAATGCCACAAAATTGTACTTTTCGAATTTAGTCATATATACTAATTTGTATTTTATATAAATAAAATTAAATAATTTATCAAATAAAAAATGCAAAACTTATTTAGAAATAAATACAACAGTATGTTCTGTGCTTTATTTAGCTGTAAATAAGTTTATTTTTATTATTTTGACAAAATTATGTATAATTCGCGTATGAAGCCATGTACTTTGAACAACGTATGCAGTACCAGCGCCCATGCGGTTAATTATAGAAGCTCAATTAGCATGCGTTTTTTGGGACCGTATTTTGAGTATGCCGATTCGTCTCCTAGTCGCGATCAAAGATGTGATGTCTATTGTCGCGATCAACTTGTCATAGGCGTAGTCTAAAGCCGTGATCCAAGGCGCGCGGAGTGGTACTCCACGCGCCAAACTTGCCAGTTCCCGCTGGGTAGGGCAGGTTTGCCAATCTTCGGTCGGCGCGATGAGTACCGTCGTATGTCGGTAAATCAACACGGTTCAAAGGGGCGCGGACGTTGGCGAGCATCACGTGCTTACAGCTCCAACGGCGCGGCTAAGAGCGTGGTACTGTCAGTGCCGTGGTAACTTTTACCAAGGAGTGGTCTAACGAAGTGGTGTTAGAATTTTTATCATTCTATAAAGCCGAGCCGATTATTTGGAACCCACGGGATCCAAACCATAAAAATAGGAACTTAGTTTATGATGCCTGGAGGAGAATTGAAAAGCAAATGAGTGTAAAATATTAAATCGCAGAATTGAAAAAATTAAATTAAATTAAATTAAAAGTTACAACCTAATATTAGTTGCAGTCGTAGAAAAATTATAGTATATAATGCATGTGAAAATACCAAGATAATTTCCCTAAGTGTTTCTTATTGCCAATTTGGTACTAATGATACAAATTACTTGAAAAATTATTTGTTATTGTCTTCAAAATTTTACAGTTTTTTCATGTTTCGTCCTAAGTATATCTTTTCCAAATTTAAATTTGATATGTTTTTATCACGAGAGGAACGAGACGAGACAGGACGAGACGAGAGAATGGCTCTCTCGAGCGTGAGAAGCGCTTTCTCGTCGAGACGAGAGAACAGTTTTCTCTTGCCCTACGAGACAAGACGAGAGAGGCCTCTCTCTCATCTCGTCTCGTCTCGCGGCATCACTAAGGATTTCTGTGTACTTGTCAAAAGTTAATAGAAAGTTTGTGAAAGTTTAACCACAAAAAACTTAAGTTTCAATTTTGTATTTGACATTAAACATGGCTGAAGTATTTGGAGATAAGTTTAAACCTTTTAAACATAAGGCTTTTATTTAGTTAGACTTAAGTTTGAAAATTATAATTAAATTTGAGCTGATGGGTTTTGAATATTTTTTATATTACACAATTTATCCACTTTTTGATAGCGATATTTTAAGAGATTAGCAGAGCTCCAGTTTGGGGTACATATATTTAATTTTTTTGAACCTTTTACCTCTTTTTGCAATTAAATATTTTTGCCGATACGCGCTGTGCTAGAGCACATGCCAAATTTTAATCGCTGTGGCTAGGTACACGCTAACGTGTACGCTAATCAAAAATTAGTAATAATTTAACGTGAATAATACATTTATTTAGTTTACCAGAAACCATTTAAGTTGAACACAAATTTAGAACGAGTAATTTGCAAATTCCATGTTGTTACATTAACTCATTTTTAAAGAACACATTTTGCCTGGTTAATTTCTTTAGTAATGCCAATTTGACAGATCTGCTTATTGCATTAACTTATGGAAAAAAAAAATAATAATTCTGCCTCATTTTGGATTTTTGATATGTGCAATATTTTAGGTTATTTTTTTTTGTAGTAAGAAATAAGATAAAAAAAGTAGGAGGAGAAATGGATTTACATCTAGAAAATTGGTCACTTTTAAGAAGAGCCTACATTTTTTAACTCACCCTGTATATAAATACAAAAACAGCATTGTCAGATTGTGTTTTCTAAATAAACACCGTATTAGTATTTTTTCCCTCTAAATAACCAATCAGTATTTTTTTCAATATTTTGAGGCGAATCTGGCCCACAGTGGCGTCGTAAAAAAATTCATTAAGGTTTTTTATTACACAAAAACTAAGTAATAAATAATAATAATTTTAGTACAAAAAGTTATTCTTTATCAAAAATTGTACATGGTATAAAATTTAAAATGCAATCATTTCATATCAAATTTTATCAGTCGTATACGAGGTTTGTCAAAAACTATTTTGCTTAAGAGTAAGTACCTTTATTATTGGACAAACCTCGTACACGATTGATACAATTTGATATCAGGTGGTTGAATTTTGAGTTTTATGCACAATATTTTATAACCAATTGCTTTTTTACTAAAATTAATATTAACAAAATTTTCCACATGCCGATAACGTACGTAGACACGTTCTCAAAACTAAATGAACATCTATGGTTCCTCAAGAATCTAAATGTGGCCCTTTGTTGTTCCAATGATATTGCAAATACGAGTAGATATATTCATTACCTTTATACTCGTATAATATGCTAATTATATAAAAATGTTTAGATCTGTTTCTTCTTAAGATTGCAGTTACAGTTTGACATTTACCATTGGCGTTTAAAAATTTTTTTTTCTTCAATATCAATAAATGCCATAGTTTTAGTCACATTTTGATATAAAATTGAAATTCAAAAATTTTTGTTTTAGAACCAAAGGTTAGTCCAGCCACGTTCTGCAGGATTTTTCCCTTTCACATTATGTTCGATGCAGAAATGAAAATTGTACAAACAGGATTCTCAGTAGCAAGGATCATTCCAAAAGTTAACTCACCTCAATGTAAAATTACAGACGTATTGGATCCTGTAAGTTAATTTTACTTATTCTCTTATTCGTCTGGATTAAAATTCATTTTAATAAGGCATTTCAAACCACGTGATCTTTTAATAGTTAAAATGATTGCTCGATAGAATTTTAAATGATTGGGTTAAATTGAGGAATTGAGTACTCAAGTGTGTATATATAAATGTTTAATACAATTTGGCTAGCGCTTTCGACAAAACATTGTCATCTTCAGGCCGTCCTACAAATTTTAAAAGTTAATACGAGAAGTAAGGGTGAAAGAATTACCTTACGTCAATAGATATCTATCTAGAGTTAAAAATGAATAAAAATACATGGGTTAAAACATTGAATACATTTTTGAAAAAGGGGGGTGTTGAAAATTAGCAAAACGCAACCTTATATTTCGTATTTTACAAATACATTATCAGTTAAAAAAATTTAAATTTTAACGGTACATCGTACCTATTAGACAGTGGACAAATGACACATAGACAGACTGACACATGACATAGGCGTAAGGAGGGAGTGTTCGACATTGGTTCTGGAGTTAACCGATCCATGTGATCTATACTTATTCAAAAATGATACAATGGTTGAAAAGTTGGAAAGGGTATAATAAGTTTCTGCAGAACATGATCCATACAGCGGTCCAGAGAGACTTATTATAATGGTTTGGGGGAACTATTGTAGCTTCGAATTTTTAGAATAGAGGAAGGGCAATGACTCTAGATCCATACTAGGCCAGAAAACGTGAAGGTGATAGACGTGACTAGACCATGATCCATACATGGCTATTAGTCGAAGAGTGAAGGGTAAATTAGAAAAAAGATAAGAATAGAGAGAGAATTTTGCCGAAAAGTGAAAGGGTATAGAAAAGACAAATTAATACCTTGATCCATACTAGGCAGTAACAAAGATAGTAAGAAGACACTTTTTTCGCCTTTTACGATACAGCTGTGTACTGGGTTATCTATTATATAACCACGGTGAATAGGAATAAGTGTAGTCTAGGTTAGGGTCAGACTCCAAAACCAATAGCGGGTCCTCCTGATTAGTTACCTAGTGAATTTAACAATTATGAAATTTAGAAATAACTGAAAAGTGAATTAATTACAATTTAAAGATGTTAATAAGTTAGGGGTTTATGATTAATAATGGATTTAATATTTCAATTGAAATGGTGGGATTCCCAGAGGGTTTTAAATAATGGATTATAATTACAATTTAGGTGAATTTGAGTGTTTAAACAATGTTCGGGATTCAAGTTCATTTCACGAAGGATCTCCAAATCCTCCATAAGATCCATCCGTAGAACGTCCTGAAGATGACAATGTTTTGTCGAAAGTGCTAGCCAAATTGTATTAAACATTTATATATACACACTTGAGTACTCAATTCCTCAATTCAACCCAATCATTTAACCACTGAGTGTGTACTTCTTTCCCAGTCTAAACATTCGATAGTATTTTGTTGTTTCCTTAATTTATTGCAAATTTTAAATTTAGGTACATCATTTTCAAGGAAACAGCAAAATGTTCTCAAAAAAAAACCGTACTCTTGTGGTATTACCCTGAATTATTTAACGCTATAGCACATCAACCAATAAAAATCATTTTTTATTCCAACAGACGCCAATCAACACAAAATGCATCTGCAGTGTTTTCACTCAATCCTGAGTAGATTTAAAAAATTCAGTTCATTACCAGATTAACGTGTCAATGATTTATACGACACGTCAATGTGAAGTTTCTTAAAAAGGTGACGAAAAATAGACAAAAATCGTTTTAAATACAGAATCGACCTCATCTTATATTAATAAAAGTTCCGTTTATATTGATAAATAATCTTTTCAAACACCACACGAAATAAGATTTTTTTTTAGAGAACATTTTTTGTTTTCTTACAAATTATGCAAATTTCACTCTACAAAATCCTCCCGAAATATTATAGGGAGGATTTTATTTCCACCTCTTTGGCATTACCCTTGAAAACATTACAGTCGGCGTAATACATTTTAATGTTATTTTTGTTTTCTTTTATATTTATTTCACTGTGTTGTGTTTGTTTCAAAGTGTTGCAACTCAAAATATGGCATTATAACAGAAGACTTTTATACAATTTTATAGAGCAAAATTAACACAAGTCGAAATATGACAATTTTGATGTATGAAGAACGGACAACTCGAGAAACTTTAAAAACGACATTTAGTTCCCTCTATCTAATAATTGTAGAAACGGACTTGTGGCACTTTTATATATGAGAAGTATACGTTTTTTATTAGGTTTGTCGATACAAAACAAAAACTGATACTTTTTGAGTCGTGTCAATTTTGAAGAGGGGATGTATCTTTAAAAAAATACAGTAATGGTCAATATATTATTTTTTAAAGAAGTGTAAGTTGTTACTATATAAATATTTACTGGTCTTTATGAAAACAATCACCTAGTTATTCCCCTTGGGCACGTACTGCGTATTTAATACATTCACTATTCTCTGCAGTTTGATCAAACTTACAACGTGCGAATCGCATTCTGTTACTGTTCTATTTTTTCTTTAACTTTCCTTCGTTTTTTAGGTTCGTCCGCATCTGGAGCTAACGTTCGAGAATATTCTGTCGCATATCAATACGATTTACGTTTTAAAGACACGCACGGGAGTGATGCAAGTAAATGCTCCTCCCGAGTGTCGTTACCTGAGGCTTAAAGGCCAAATGCTCTACGTTCCCGAATCAGATCTGATTGTCTTTCTTTGTTATCCCAGCGTCGTCAGTTTGGATGATTTAACAAGGTTTGTGATGTATTCTTATATTGTATTTTTTTATGATTTTTATGATATAAAATGGGTTAGGAATACTCGGTTGTCACCATATGCAAGGTGAGTCAAAAAGAAATACAAATATTTTAGGAGGTGGTAGAACAATAAAAATTAAGGTCAGTTTACTATATAAACTTATATCCAAAATGAGGGAGATAAAACTATTTAAAGAGGGAATGGAAAAACCACCAAACTTCAAACTTTAGCAAACCATCAACTCCAAATTTCTTGGAGAACTTAATTTTTTTATAATATTTGATTTGTTGGTAAAACAAAATGATAAATAATTGTTATTTATTTATTACATTCTAACAGGCATATTAGTCTCTTTACAAGGATAGACATTACAATAAAAAAGTAAAATAAAACAAAGAAAAAAGAAAAATATACCAACAAATATAGAAAGGACTAAAAACCAATTAAGCAGATAAATTTACCATGTGCCCATGATTTAGTAGCCTGAATCTAAAGATATATTATACCAATCTACTTCATGCAAGCAATTAATTTTATTTGCCAAACGGGGCATAGTTAAGAGTGTTGATCAAAAAGTGATGCTACAAAAGAAATATTAAACATAAGCGTAGAACACATAGATCTAGAAGCGACATTAAATGGTACAAGTGACAATATTTCCGCGCAGTTTATGTGGTTATTTATAAATTTATGCAAAAGAAAATTAAAGCAAACATTATTCGCCTGCTGCCTAAAGAAGGTATTTTAAATTGAGTTCGTAAATGTGTAATTCGGATACTATTATAATCTGGTCTTATAAAGTATTTTTTTAAATAAAGGTATCTTAAGAATTTGTTTTAAATTTTTTCTAGTTCCTGTAAAATTGTTTGGTATTCGCCATTCCAAATTACAGACCCGTACACTTTGTTTTTTCTAACATTACCTGGTAAAACTCCATTTTGGTTTTAACGTCGTCAGGAAAACCAGCAAAGACCTTACGATTATTTGTTTCGTGATAACCGTTGGGTTTTGCTGAACAATATTTAGAATTTGTTCTTTGGCTTCTACTGTTATTCTACTATTATTTTTTACTCTTAGTTTTCTGTTTCTCTAAATCACCTTTCAACGTTAATAACTATTCTCGAATTGAGCATATTTCGAAGAGGAACTTTTTCTGCATATCTTTTGACAACATCATTATCATTTCCCAGACATGTCGGATGTCGGTATACTCGTCAAATGTGTACATGTCTTGAACAAAATTGTGACATTCTATAGCTTATTTGATAGTTTATATTGAAACAATACATGGTAAACTTTTAATGTTATTAAAGATTAGATTATAAATACCAATTATTGTGCAGTTACATTTTAAGAGTAAAATTATTTAAAAACGGTTTACTCTATGGAGTTTAAACAAGAATACCTTTTTTGAATAAAAAAACTATGAAAATTTTTCTGAAAAGAAGAAATTAAAGAAATAGGGGTAAGAAAACCATACCCACTCTCTTAAACTTGCCCTGTCAAAATTATTCTTTTTCTTATTTTACTATTAAATTAAATGATATAAAACTTTTAAGTTCACCAATAAATTTGGAATTGATAGAAATTTCCGGTTCGAAGCTAGGACCGAAAGACTGGTGTTTCCATTTCCCCTTGTTTTAAAATTTCGGACATTAGTTTATATAGCAAACCCTCATGAAATATTTGTAATCCTTTTTGATTCACCTTGTATATAGGAAGATAACAGTTCGAAATGTTGCCTGCTCCAACAATAAATCACATTCTAAGATAAAATTAGGTTCTCTCCATATTGGGACATAGGCTAAGGGCAGGTTATTTGGACCAAAATGTTGCGATAGCACTAAATATACCTTAATAAAATATTGCTGTGGAACAAGATAGAGAGTGTTAAAGTTGAATTTATATATTTATATTAAACTTTATATTTATGAATTGTTGTCAAAATCGGCACAAAGGCATATCTTTCGACAAACTTTTTAGAATCTTTGATTAGAAAATATGATGCGAACTTCATTTCTACATAATATTAGTACTCTAAAATATTATGTCATTTATGAAAAGTGTGCTTTGCAGTGTCAAATAATTATCTCTGGTAAATATGTCATTTCTTGACAGTTAATTATTTTTGTTGTGAGATTATAGTCTATTATTATTAATTAACACCCTGTATCTTATTTGGCCTTATCGCCATATTTTGTTCTAAATAACCTGCCTTTAGCCTATGTCTAATAGTTATGAATCACCCTGTATATCTAGATAAAACTTTTTGTTCTTCATTAAAGCGATATTTGGTGATATGTAAAAATCCACAATTATTAATATATTAACTAACCTTTTTTCAAAACGTACCTACCTAGATTAAAAATACTTTATTTACAAAAATATTGAGAGTATGTACCCCATTTTGTTTCATTACATTTATTACCAAATTGATTATTTAGAAACGTAGTAATATAGTATTTTTATTTTACATTGATGTTTATGTTTTTGAAGTGTATCTGTATATATTTCCTTGTAAAACGTTAGTTATAAAACGAGAGTTTTGGGGAATTGCGGTCTGGCTCTGGATTAGCTAAAGTTAGGTTAGAATTCAATTTATAGGCTTTCCTGAAAATGAAAATTTCTTTAAAGTTATTTGTTATTAAATAGTCGTTTTAATTAATTTTTTTCATACAATTTTGTCAAATATTAAGGAAAATATGAAATTTATGTTCAATAACTCGAAAATAAAAAATAGGATAATAATTTGGCTAATAATAATCTAATTATATTATACACACATCACCAAAATTCTTGGACCCCCTCGTAAATATTAAAACGAAATATTTATCATTGCTGCTTTTTTGTACATTTAATCTTTATTTATTTCACCGTTGATACGCATCTAAAAATCTTTACGAAAACAATTTCCCACAATTTTAGGTACCAATGTTTAATGTTGAGTTTTTCTTTGCAACTATGCCTGGCAATATAATTTCAGTGTTCCATAGAGCAAGAATAGTGGCTTTGCATGATGAGGGTCTACCGAATCTTCGAATCGCAGATATACTAGGGATTCCCCGCGCTTCAGTTATCCGAATAGTGCGTTTGTACCAGGAAACTAACACCGTTGACTAGAGACGTTGGACTGGGCATCCAAGGGTAACTAATCCAAGAGAAGATCGGTATGTAGCAGGTTATGTTCGTCGGAATCGAACCGTAACAGTCTCAGCCGGCCCAACACAGTTTAGAAGAAAGTATGGTCGATTTATTTCCAGTACCACAATACGGCGGAAATTTGCTGGAGCCAATTTGTGATCTAGGAGACCATTAAGAGTACCCAGGTTACTTCCCAGACATATAGCTGTTTGTCTACAGTGGGCACAGGAACACAAAAACTGGCTTTTAGCTCAGTGGCGAAATGTTCTTTTTTCGAACGAAACCAGATATGGTTTAATTAGTGATAGTCGGCGACACAGAGTTTGGAGAGGGCCAGGGCGACCAGAAAGACTATCTTTTGCCATATAGGTCGTTCCATATCAAGGATGAACAGTAATGTTTTAGGGAGGCATAATGCATGGCCGTCGTACGCAGCTTATTCCCATTCCAGACACTATGACAGCTGATAGATATGTTCGAAACATTATTGAACCCACTATGTATCCTCTCCAAAATGAAATTAGAGCCAACTTTATTTTCATGGATGACAATACTAGGCCCCATCGCACGAGAAGGGTACAAAATGCACTAGAAATTCAAAATATTCAATGATTACCGTGGCCAGCAAATTCGTCCGATATAAATCCCATTGAACACATGTGGGATTTCGTTGGACGAGCAATCTGAAACAGAATTAATCTTTCTATCATCCTCCAAGAACTCACAGTTGCGGTCCAAGAAGAATGGAACAACATACCAATGGATTACATTAACCAGGGCCGACTAGAGGGGGGGGGTAGCCGGGACTAATTTCCGGGGACCGGGCTTAAATGGGAGCCCGGCAGCGCTGTAAGGGGGGCCCGATAGAGGAAAAGGTTTAGCCTAGAGAAGTGTCTTGTCGGCTGAGGACTTTTTTTTTAGAAGAAGAAGTAATTGAAGTAGGAAGAGAGAATAGTTTATTTTTTTGATGCGAGGACCTTTTTTTTTTTTTCAATAGAAGAGGAACAGTTTTTGGTTAAGATTTTTGTTTGTTTATTGTTTCCATGCACAGGCGAGTTAATACCTTACTTCAGAACAAATTTTTGATTTCGCTCTAAAGTGGTTTTCTTCTGGAAGTCAAATTCTAGTAATCATTTTATTAAGCACTATTTTTCATTTGTATTTTTTCTTGTTCACTTAAAATTTCATGCAGCCAATTTGTATTGGATACATAACCAAATTAATGTAACACACTTCTTGACTTTTAATAATAGTTTCTCATTTTGACAAACATAAGGGGGTCTAAGAATTTTGGCGATGTGTGTATTAATAACATATTTATGTTAACCTAAATAAAAACTTTTTAACAACTTTGCAATGTCCAAAATCAAAAAGACTGAAAACTTATCGTTTAGATTTCCTTTAAATGTTGAAAAAGAAAAAATACGATTTGAATTATTAGGAATTGCTGAAGACAAAATTATTAAATCACAGAAAAACTTAGTTTTCCTCCTTTCAAAAATAGAAACTATCAGTGTTACAATAAATTTACTAGTTGGATTCGTTCATTAAGAAGAAAATTAACCTATAATTTTATGGTTTTTTTTAATATAAAATTTTGTGTTTTTTACATTGTAAATTGACCTTAATGATGACAGAAGCGAATAGTAACTTTACATGTACAGGCATCTGTGTCTGTAACGTGTGGCACATCAAAGCTCCGAGCAATTACTAATAGAGGGAGCGTGAAAACGAGTTTGTAGGAGATTGTTGTGTTAGCAACATCTGTAGAGGAAGTGAGGAAGCGGGCACAAGGGGGAAGGTAAACATCATTCTTGTTCAGTGGCGTATCATTTATCTAAAAAAACACACATTTTCCAAACGTTTTAATTGTAAAAAAACTAAAAAATTTGCTAATTTTACTATTTTTAAAATGAATACCGTCTTATATGTGTCTAATGCAGGAAATGAAACAAAATCACTGTAGAGGTCTAATTTTTTCAATTGAAGAATAAAACCTTAAAATCAATTTTATTATAAATAAATACAGTAGCGACTAGTTTCGGCCTTACAGGAACATCTTCAGGTCTGTAATACAATAATCTTTAATTATTATAATAGGTTGGTCATTTACGAATAACATTAAATAGTATATACCACAAAAATGGATCCATATTGTAGCGTTACAGCATTATAGAATTAAAGCTGTGAAAATAAAAGAGCAGTGCAAACGTAACTAAAAATAAGAAAACTGAGTGCGGAATCTACAAGAGAAGAGGTGAGAATGAGCAATTACGAATGCATTTAAATTGCTCGGGATAACAAATAAAGCTGATAACGTAGTGGTATAGTCCCCGTCAAAGAAGGTCTGGATATGTTAAAGAGGACGGCGTTTTCTCTGTAAATCTGGAGAATGTAAGGATGAAGGGAAGACGAATCTTGCTGGTTTAGGTGTAGATGGCTAGAAAAAGGAGCGTGTAGATGAAAATTCCAGTAAATATCGTCACTTTTGTCTAATTTTTTATTCTCACTCACCGTTTCGGCTTTATCTTCAAAATTCATTTTTAAAAGAAAATAAAAGTAATCATTCATACAAGCATATAATAGACCGTCAGATAGTGACCGATTTAGGTGCCCCATTTTCGCATACAAGCCTCAAAGAGGGTTAAAAGTACATCAATGTTGAGTAGAATAAAAGAAAATTTACGACTGGCACTTGGAGATAACACCTGGAAAATTCGATTTTTCTTATCAGAAAAATTTTCCGACCCCAAAATGCATTTATACATTTGGGTCATTCAAGAAAATATGTTTTTCGGACTAGTGACGATGTACGATTTCATAAATTCGATGGGCTTGTGTGGAAAAATCGGGTAAAGTATCGATTTTTCCTTAGAAGATTACGCCCTTATTTCAACATTTTAGCTACTTGCAACATTAAAGCCTTTGGTTTTCCGAAGCCAAGTTCTATTAATTAATCATAGTGAAAACGGCTTGCGTGGAAATATGGACTACAAATCACCTTCCATTTTTGTTTGGGAAAATCGAATTTTCCATGTGTTATCCCCAGGAGCCACTCGTAAATTTCCTTTCATTCTACTTAAAATCGATGTAATTTTCAACACTCTTCGAGGCTTGTATGCGAAAATGGGGCACCTAAACCTGTCACTATCTGACGGACTATAATAAAACAACATGAATTTATTATATTTAATAAGCTAATAAACGTTTGTGTCAATGAAAAAAACATATATGAGAATATAAAAAATATATAAATAGATAAGATTAATATCAAAATCAATTTGAAAATACAACAGATAATAAAATGAAATAAATTAATACAAGTACAAATAGAAAGTTAATAGCATACCTTCTAAAAGTAACACATTTTAAGAAGATAAATGTTTAAAGAGTTTATTCCTGAACATAACTAATCTAACGTTTTCCACTTTTTAATATTATGAGGGTTTTTGTAGTTGAAATGAAAATTATAATTTATTTTGGTCCCAATAAAAATTTAAACATAGGTTATCAAAGAGTAAAATACGTAATATAACTTCATAATCTTAAATCGTTATCAAAAATTATTAATGGTAAAACTTGGTTGGTAAAATTTTGAAATTTTGGGTCTGGTAAGTCTTGTTAAACTTTCTTCTTAGGAAGCTGTAACCTTATGGAAAATAAAAATTTAATGTTACATCAAAAGCTCTTAATTGAGAATTATATTTGCAAAGGCCGTTTTAATAATATTTTCAGAAGTTCTTGGAATCGTTGTTAACAGAAACATGCCAAAAAATGTATCATTTTATTCCTAAAATATAAGATATCACACAATGCACATTCATATAATATCATTGCACTAGAAAAATACTAGGTAGGTACTGAGACAATTTAAAAAAAGTATTTCGAGAAACTCAACTTTTATTGTCATCATTGTACTTAACTTTTTTATTGCTAAATTATTAATATTGTCATTTTGCCAAGTTTTTTTTAATAATTATGTCCTTGTTATAGTAAAAACACATTTAAACACATTTTTAAAGTTTTCTGGATTTCTGCTTTCAATTATCGTACAATTGAACAGACTAATTGTGTGTTTAAGTGAAGGTATATCTCTTTTTTGTTATAACAGTCTTTGTAAATTGTTCTAACTTTTTAGATAATTAGAGAAAACAGTAAGACATCTTAATATATCCTATTTCACCAACAAAAATGTAGAATAGTTAATCTCACATTAAACGAAAAAAGTCATTTTAGGATGTCCTAATAGGTTTTAACTTAAAAACTAAATAAAATGTATATTGCAACTGTGTTTAAATAAATGAATGTTTTTATACCTGACTATAGCACCAGAAAAACATTTTTTTAGACCATAATGATCTACATAACTCAAAATAGTCAAAATCCACATTATTTAAGTTGTTCTAGTATTGTTCAGCATAACGATGTAAACTCCAATAATAAATATTCACATTTTTTTGGGAAGTTTTTTAAGTAAATTAAAAAAACATGAATAATTTGATATTCTTGTTTAGTATTGTACTATATAATATAGTTCATTAGGTAGTGATTTAGAAGCAAATTATGTTCTACTTATAGAATAAAAAATCACTCATAATATCTAAATATTTATACCTATTTATATTTTGGACAGGAAAACTATATTTTATGTTTTTGGCTCTGAATAGTTTTCTTAAGAATTTTAAAACCTTTCTCAGCTCTTTTGGGATATTCCATGCATATCTTAGAAGTTCATTTTGTTTAAACCTAAAACAAATTAAGTACAAAAAATGAAAATTTAAACAATACACAGAATTAGTCTTTTAGATTAGTTAAAAAAAAGAACAAAAAAATGGCTGTCTTTTTCCTTAAATATTCTTTTTGAAAGAAACTTAAGTTTCTCTACTTACTTGCTGTTTTAGTATTTTAGTACAAGATGAATATAGTGTTGAAATAGTGACAGGATTGGTTATTATTCTTCTTTCGTCGAAATTGCATTTTTCTTTAATATTTTCCTCTCCTGAGGTCTGTAATAAAAATGTTCATTAGTATAAAAAGTTATTCAGGTAGTCACTTATTGAATTCCTGTATTTTAAAACCATGTATTTCTTTCTCATATCAAGAAAAGGAAATCTAAAAAAAATAACAATTAACTTTACAAAGATATGATATTAAAATAATAATAAGTAATTAACCTTTACTATAATCATTATGAGACGGATAAAGACGAACTTAGCTGGAGTTTACTTGCTTTTAATTTTAATTTTTTGATAAGAAAATAAGAAAGTTTAATTGCAAATTAAAGGTGATTGCCTAATGCACCGTCTCTGATAATTAGGTTGTGTCTGTACTTACTTATGATATTATCTTGAAGAAGCATTTTCAACAGGCCTTTTACACATAAAGCATGTTTACACCATATTATTAGAGATAATAAAACTTAAATATACATTTACAACCCTTACAACGTTATAAATAATAATATTTTCCGTAAAATACAAATAAGAATTTGACATGTGTCAGAAAGTGTTAGAACTGGCGCTGTCAAACTTCGCAACACTGATTAAATAAGCCAATTACAGAAGAGGTATTTTCCCCCTCGGGGGGAGTAGATTTTGATAACAAAATTTAGCGCGGGGAAGGGGGGAAGGCTCCCTCTAGTAGTAATTGCTCGGAGCATCAAAGTATGTGAACGTGTGGAGGGTGGGTTACCCCCACGGCAGCTTAGGCCTCACTAGACATTTACAGACATGGGCGTAGAAAAATGTAGCATTTTTTTTTATTTTCAGGAGAGGTTTATATATTAGCGATATTCCACTTCATGATGCTACAAGGGATTTAGTTTTAATGTCTGAACAATTTGAGGCTGACTACAAGCTCACAAGAAATTTAGAATTTTTAACTGATAAATTGCAACAGACTTACAGGGAACTGGATAGAGAAAAGATAAAAACTGATAGGTAATGATAATAATTCTCTATTTTGCCATGATCATTTAATTATATTGTCGTTTTTTATACATATTATACTTGTTATTGTACTAGAGATTTTCTTAGTATTTAATAAAACAATATAGTTAACATTTTTATAGCTTTAGGTAACTAGTTTGAACATTATTCAGGAATCAGTACTCTTATTTATTAAATTATTTCATATTTTTTTTAATATTTTTTTAAAATCATAGAAACATATTTATATTTGATTACTATTATTAAGAATTAAGAAAACAGCATGACAATTTTATTGTTTAGGTATTATTTTTGAAAAATATCCATTTTTTATCAAGTCAACTGTACAAATAATAATGTCAATACAGAAAATTTTATGTGAAAATTCAGATTGACATTACTTTGACTTTCGTACCCATGAAAACGTCATAATGTTTATACAGTCGTTTTGAAATTTGGACTGTCATTGTGCTGTTATTGAACTGTAATTAGTATAATTAAATTATCATCTAATTACCCCATATGAGATTAAAAATATGACAAACGCTATATTTTAAATATTTTAGCATCGAAGTCTAAACTATTGTCCGAAAAACATAAAATTGTTAATGTACAGACACAGTTTTCTTCAAAAGTTATAAAAATGTTGTCCACGGTGAAAAAATAGCCACAAAAAAGTTCTAAAGAGTAGATCTTGGAAAAATTCACGCATGTCAGATCACTCTTTATTTAAAATTTGAGGCAAATATTTCTTTTACGTATCTTTTACTATAAATATCATCAGCTATATTATGTTTTAGATTACTGTACTCAGTATTGCCAATAACTGTTGCCAATGAATTAAGACATCAACGACCAGTACCGGCTAGAAGATACGAATGTGCCACCGTTTTATTTTCTGGGATCGTGGGATTTTCCGAATATTGCGCAAAAAATTCAGATTCAAAGGGAGCCATGAAAATCGTCAGATTACTTAATGAACTTTACACTAACTTCGATGATCTCTCTGACCCAAAAATAAACCCAAATATTTACAAGGTAATTTTATATTATCCAGTAATATGTAATTAGATGTGAAATATTTTAACAAATACATCAGATATATGTCCGAGAATATGTTGGAAATTTCAAGGATTACTAGTTTCTACATACATTTTTGCCTACACCCATCGTCCTGTAATACTTGGTGTAAATTAAAAATCAGTACATGTCAATAAAACGATATTAAGAAAGAAGAAATGTTATTAACATAAACGACAACCAACGCAACAAACCATGTTTTTGTTTGAAAACATTCTATTTGATTTATATCGACATAGATTAGATACGAGTACCTGTCTTTTTAGTTTTAGATTTAAACTTTACAAAAATATTGTTGTTCTGCATTTTTCCTCTAGGGTGTAAAACAATTAGCATTTTTTGCTGAAATTAGTCTAATCTAGTATCCGTTACACTCGTATTAAAAATTTATTAAATTACACAAAAAAATAACCTTATCTTAGGGGGAAAACAAAAGGATAAGATTTTTTTTGTTAATTTTGGAGCTGGATTTCGTATTCTGGTCCAAAATTATTTAGTTAAAGAGGTTCTTTTTTAATTGTTTTTTATATTTCTATCATTTTTAGTTTCTAAACGTTATTTTTAGTTGTCTGTTTTTTATTTTTTATTTTTTTTTATTTTTTTTATGAAGGGTCTATTAAATGATTTATTAAAATACGTGGTGTTTGTAATAACCAGTTCTTTATAGTCCTTTTAAATCGATAATGGTTATTTATAATTTTTATAATTTCTGTTACGTGAGAGTAAATACGAGGAGCTATAAAATCGAAAGATCTTTGACCAATTATAGGCTCTGTGTGTCTGGATTTTTTTATGTTTTTTTGTGGCGTGTTGGATAAGAATGTATGATTTTTTGTAATGAATTTCTTTTTTTGTGTTGGATATTAATGATTATTTGAGCATAGATTTGTATTAGGTCCATTTTGTGCAATTTCTCGTATGTATTGTTACTTCCATAAGTTGTATTTTTGTTTAGAATAATTTTCAGGATTAACTTTTGAATAATTTCAAGCTGATTTAAGTGAGTTTTATAAATACCACCCCAGCCTGATATACCGTACGCAAATGGATTTCGACTAAAGAAGAGCAAATCATTTTCAATTGATGAAACTGAAGTATACTTTTCAAATGTTTAAATTTATAGATTAATGATCTAATTTTTTTAGTTACTGACTTCACATGAATATACTATTTTAAATGGCTATCAATTTCAATGCCAAGGTATCTGATATGATTTGCTTTTTCATTAATGAAAGTGTTCTTTTCATCTGAAAGGTCTATTACGTTAAAGTCTGGTTCTGTACTTTTATTACCCGAAAATGGTATATATTTTGTTTTGTTAAAATTAATTGTTAGTCCCATTTCATCAAACCAGTACTTATGTTTTTTCAAATCATTTTGAACAAGTTGTTTTAGTTGGTTCCAATTCTCAGATAGATAGGAACCAGTTGATTTCACCTCGAAAGACATAGAATCGTACATATCCCATTGTCTACAAAAATTGGACATACAATAAAATTTATCCTCTTAGTCGTCGATATAATATTATGTTTGTGTAAAAAATATGCTTGTAATATTTTTAGGTTGAAACTGTTGGCGATAAATACATGGCTGTAAGTGGAATACCTGAACCATGTGCGACCCATGCCAAGAACATTGCTAAATTAGCTCTGGATATGATGGATCGGAGTCAGACAGTAACTTTTGAAGGAGAAGTTGTGGTAAGTAGGTATACCTACGACTTTGCACTTAACTACATAGGCATAAAAGGGAAACGTTATTTTTTCTAGTTTCGTCTTTAAAGTCAAAATTTCAAGAATAAAATCGAAATTCCTAGTTTAATGTCAAAATTTTTTACTTCTAACGCGAATTTCGTATTTTATAAATTTAACAAATTCTATTGCTATCCTAGAATAGCAAGAATGAATAAGGATTGGCTATAAAAGCTTCCTTATAATTTTGAAAAAGTATCCTCTTCGCGTACAGCCGTGCTTAATTTCGACTTAAAAAATTTCGATTTTTTAACTCGTATTTGAATTCGAAACCTAAACTTAGAATTTTAAATTAAAAGTCACAATTTCGGCTTTAAAGTCGTGTTTAAAATGGAAATTCCTAGTTTAAAGTCGAAATATTCAGTAAAATATCTAAATCTAAAAAATATATTATTATGTGGCCCATCTACCCTTTGTTAATATACAGATTGCATGTCAACGTACAGAAAGACACATATAACATAAATCGTCTTGAATTTTGCTATTTTTGTCTAGTTTAGTCTAGTGAAATGAATATCTGGGGGTAATAACAGCCAATTGGGGTATAGCGCGACACAAGTTTTTTACTACACCTACATGAATATTAGCTTATCTGGGCACAGACTACAAAACGAAGAAGTATGCTATTGCGTTCAACTGAACGAATATATTTTATATCCATTCTAGGTAGTGAGAAGACGGCAAAAAATGAAATCCACCAATTACAGTTCATATTTTGGTCACCCAACTACTAATATTTTAAAAATTTTAAATAAGTGACAATTCTGTCAAACTAATTGTTGGTATATTTTTTAGTTATTGAGTACAAATATACATTAAAATGAGTTATTTTTGTGTAGAATGGATAAATAATAGCATTTCTATTAAATTAATTTAATTAAGAATATTAGAACCGAAATGGCAAATCTGGCGGTGGACGTGGGTAGAAGGTATCTGCCTTCCACGCGAGAAACCCGAGGTCGATTCTCGTTGGGGCCTAATAAAATTAAATCTTTTTTGTACATGTATATTTTATTTTCTAATTTAGTAAAATTAGTTATTTGGCTTAATAAACTAAAATAATTTTTAAATTTGTAGATTTTCGTAAGTGGGTAGTAGAAAAAATATAGTGTAAAACTCGAGTGGATTGTCCATATCCACTCCTGTTGCACATACTACTATTGTGCACCTACCATTTGGTTGTAGCAAATAGCCAAAGTGCACAGCTATAAAAGAGAGGTTAATATTTGTTTCTTCCATAGAGAATTACTATTGGCATCCACTGTGGAGAAGTAGTTACTGGAGTTATAGGTCAAAGAATGCCAAGGTTTTGTCTATATGGAAATACTGTAAATTTGACTAGCAGAACAGAAACAACTGGTGCACCTGGAAAAATAAATATCACCAAAGATGTTTACAGGTAACAGAAATTACATTATTATAAACCAAAAAAAAATTAGATTCAGATTTAAAAGAAAAAAGTTTAGTTTAGTTGCGATTCTAGTGATTATAATTTTTTTTGGAGAATTATATCGAAAAGTCTTTTGTATCTCACAATTGGTTACCCCATTTTAAATTACCTTGTCTTCAAGCGCACTATAATTAACGTATAATCCATTTCGAGATTTATTTATGAAATGAATGTACCCGTATATCGAAATGACCAAGTTAAAACCAGTCAAAATAAAGGATAACCCTTTACATCCAGGAGCTTGCTCTGAAGAACAAATAGAAGAGCTGGAAGTGGCAGGTACGATTCAAATCTACACCGACGGTTCCAAAACAAAACAAGGCTAAGGATGTGGAATTTACTCTACATCCTTCAACCTAAACATAAAATAGACTGTGAGCAATTGTGCAAGAGTAGTTCAAACAGAGTTCACGGGGATTCGCATAGTAGCAAAATAAATCACCAGAAACAATTTCACTAGAAGGAATATGCTCTATACAGATAGCAGACAAGAACTACTCACCCTGAACAGATCACTAATTTACTCAGGGTTAGTACTAGAATGTCACGAAGCTTTGGCCGAAGTATCCGTCAACAATGTGGTCACCTTAAGATGGATTAGAAGTCACGCTACATCTAAAGGCGACCATCTTGCTGATTCACTGGCCAAGAAGGCAGCCAACCAAATACTTTTTGGACCTAGCCCTAGTGACAGACCTAATTAAAGAACATTCCCTTGTAAAATCCAAGGAAAGATAAGATAAAACAAGAAACTGCAGAGTTATCCCGACAACACTACAGCAAACAAATACTATGACTATGTCAAGTACGGGAGCATCTCTATATCATGGGGTTGTCCGAATCCGAACTCTGCAGGGGGTGCGAACAAGAAGATGAGACCATCGAGCATATCCTTTTTGATTGCCCGACGCTCTTATTTATTGTAATATTTGTGTTCGGTGAGTATTGGCTAACACTAGCCGATATAAGAGATACACCTTATGGCGACATTTTCAACTACATTAAATCAGTAGGCTGACTCACGAGCTAGGGGGTGCCTATCTTATTGGGAGGAAGATCAATGGGCTTAGTGAGGCCTAAGTGCAATGGGGTAACCCACCTTCTACACGTTACAGATACAGAAAGTATAACTCTGAAATAATATATAAGATATTTATATTTTCTTATTTTAGGATTCCTATGCTTAGCATCCTAAAAGGGATAAAATAAGCTTAGAGCTGGTATACACTTTAAACCTTGCTCTATAATAGAAGGCTTTATAAATCAAAAATCCTGTGTATCTAGTTACATCTGGTTTCTCTAAGTTAATGTAAGCCTTGATTGTTACAGTTTCCTTCTCTTCCTGGTAGAACTAAGAATCCTTTTTAACTTAAAAGAAATTTATTGAACTATTTTGCTACTGCGAAGCGGCCTCAGTTGCATTTTAGTCTTGTTCAATAATGATAACTATGATATCTATTAAGTTGTAAAAGAAACTAGAAAAAAATATTGATAAATAAGTTTTGAAAAAATATAATAAGAAATATGTTAGATAGAAACCAAATATTTCTTTTTTTTTCCTATATTAAACTTAAAATATCAGAAAAACCTATCACTTGCATTGTTGTCAGTTCTATATTATCACAGCAAACGTTTAAGTTGCTAGCCAATGCGATGACAAAGTAATGACTGCAAAATTATTATGGCCCTTTTGAAATTTGTAATTAACTACCCTTTAACTTAAATTCTTCAGTATATTGATAAAAATACCCAAAATCTCAATTTAAGTCCCTTCTTGAGGGGAAAATGTGATGTACCTAATACAAAGTGTCTTAAATAAAAACTAATTTTTTTTAGTAACTCAAACGCACCAGATAATATTAACTTAAATAAATAAAAAATAAACATAAACAACAAATAATAAAGAGTACCTAATAGTGCGTTACTACTAACTTGATTTTTTTACTAGTGTAATATAAAAACATTTAGGTTAAGGTTAATGTCATGTAGAGAACTAAATTATAATTAATAAAATTACATAACACTTTTTTTTCTTCAAGAGTGGGCTAAAATTGCGGATTATCTTTTCTTATGTTCCACACGTGATACAGTCCCTTTAAAAGCCCAGCATTATTTTTATAATAGGCTAATGCGAGGGGAAGTTAATATTAATATTATGGGAAACTGTTGGCAAAGTGCAGGTCTTTTACTACTTACTAGTAAAGTGACATACTATATATGCAAGCCCATTGAAAGGAAGTTAACATTAATATTATGGGTAACTGATGACCATGTGCAGCTTTTTAACTATTTAGGTCTGATAATGTTACGAGCACTGTGCAAGCCCTTTTAAGGAGAGTTAACATTCAATCTACTCATTATAGAATGAACGCTGGAATCAAAAATAATGGGTGACAATTTAAATATCTAGGTCACCAATAATTATATTGACTTTTTGTCATTACACCTAGGAAGAAATTATTCTAGGCAAAAATATATGAAATTACCTGGGAATTCTAATTCGTGTCAAATATTTAACTTTACATTTTTTATTCAGTTGCGCCATATAGCAGTCGTTCTACAATTTGTCATTGAAATATTTTTTTCCAGATTCTGTACTATAAAAGGGTCCTGAGATATGGTAGAAAGCTTTTCTTATTGAGCTCTCGGTATAATTATAATGCATCTCAAAATCTAATAATATTTTGGATTTTTTTTTAATATTCATATATGTTTTATATTTTTAGTATTTTGTGTGATGGAGAAAATTATGATGAACAGTTCTGCTTCGAATACAGAGGACCCATTTCAATGAAAGGAAAATCTGAACCTATGGATGTCTACAACCTTTCAAGATCTTAAATGAAGAGATAACGTTCCAAAAAGTATGACTAATAACGAAATATTTTAATAAATGTTACATTTTGTCACATTTTTTCTAGTCAATCGTTGTTTAATTTTATTTGTTGAACTACGTTGTAATATTTTAAATAGAATATTAAAAATAATTACGTTCTAGTCTAGTTATTGTTTTCTAAAATATTTGCAAGAGGAACAATAATACTTTACCTCAAATATTTTTGTATTAATTACTTATAAGGAAATTTCTTAATCATTTTTTGTTCTGTTTGGTGTTATAAAATTATAAAATCCAACGAACTTACCTAAGTAAAGTTCGATCTTAATTATATAAAACGCCTTGTCCGAAGATAATCAACATAATAGTCCAATTAAATAACGAAAAAAAGCGCCTTCGAGCTTACATTAATTTGTAATTGGATGAAACAAAAAGAACCTTGTGTATTTTGATGTGATCTTTCCGAAAAAAAGAAAAAAAAGATGTAGCAGTTTTTCAATTTTTTTTAAATTAGGAAAAACCGGGTTTTCCGGAATTTTCCATTGTAAAAATGCTAATTATCTGGGCAAGTATCATTCCGATAGTGAAAATAAATGCACCATTCGAAAGAGGAGGCAAAAATAGTTCGGAAATTCATTGCACAGGTAGTTTTAATGGCAAATTATCGCCGCCAGAAGTGCTTTTACCAAAAAGTCGTTTTTTCGTTTTTTTGATCAGAACCATGGACATGAAATTTGCGATGAATTTGTGGCGAAATTATAAATGTTAGACATATGTGCCCATAAGAGAAGTTGCGTATTTTTTTGTTGGCTCTCAAATAAAATAAGTCCCGCGGCGAAATCTGACATAATTTTTCGGGAATTCACAGGAAACCAGAGGCGTAGTTTTTTTTTAATTTTTTTCCCATGTGATTTTTTCCGGTTTTTCCGAAAACATCTAACAAAATAAATATATTTGAAAAACTAACTTCGCTATCGAGAAGAGCACAAAAAAATACACAAAAAGGTATACTTTAAAAATGTTAGGAAATTAATCCTAAGCCTGAGTGTAAGTTCCAACTTGGTGATAAGCTTGCTTTTTGTTCGCTAATATCTGGTAATTCTATATTTTGCACAAAACTCAAGAAACGTCTTATAACAAGTCAGTAAAATACAATTTAATAAATTTTAAGCCTAATAAATTTAGATATGCAAGAAATTTAAAACTGGAAATCGCAAAAAAATCAAATTACAGTAATGTAGTGTATACACGAGTTTTGGATCCCGCGGAGCGCGTGTAATGGGACTTTTGTCGGGAGAATTCTACAACTTAGAAGAAACATACACACTTTAAACTTTGTATACACATTTAGAAGACATGAAATTTGGGTTTGTTTAATTTTCAGACAAAAAAACTAAAAATTGTCAATTTTAGGCAACTTTTCTCAAAAACCGTGTTTTTTGGTCGTCACTCAATGAACAGTGGTCAAAAAAATAGATAAAATATATTTGCAGAATTTTCCGTAATGTAATCGTATTCTAGACACAATAGAGTAATCAAAAAAAAAAAAAGTTCTGAGCCATTGGGTGCATTTTTGGCATTTTTGTGCCACTTCAAACTTTCGAAAAAAAATTTTATTTTTTTTTGGAAAAAAAATTATTCAATTGTTTGATATCTTAGCCAATTATGGTCAGATATCGGTGAAATTCACACACACATAAGATTTTACATTTAAGAGTAAGCTTTGTAAGTGGCATTAAAAAAATTTAAATAGTTTGGCCGTTATAGGCAAACAATGAAATTAGGACTGCGGTGCATTTTGCCCTTCCGCCATATGCCCAATTTTGGGATTTCTCTTGCCATCTTCTGGGAATCACTAGTCACATCCCTTAAGTTTAAAACTCATTTTTGTTTTTTTAAACATCTTAATTTTTACCAATGTTATAAAGAATTTAGTGTTTGAACATTTAACAAATTCAATTTTTCGACCATCGTCGCCTCAAAATACTAAACAAATTTCAATCGTCCATACCGCGAGAACGGTGCATCGGATCAAAATTTCTCAAGAGACATAAAAATTAGCATTTTTCCTAAGCTTTCTAATGTCGTAAACTGCGTTTTACGGATATTGATTTATTTCCGACATGCGCCTGCGCCAAATTGAAAAATTGACAAAATCCAAAATTTCGGCACTTTCGAAAAACTGTTACATTTTGTTTTGCCTTTTTTCGAGAATATCACCTCAAAATACATAGAATCCATTTTGTTTCATCTAATTACAATTTAATGTAAGCTCAAAACCCGTAATTTAAATAGATTATAAATGGTGTCCAAATTTGACATTCCGATTTAAATTGACCGCCATTTTTTGTAATCTTCATTGACAGTATTTCTATGATGCCATATGTCAAGTAAAAGCTTTGCGGATACTTGTTTTTTGGTCAACACAAAACAAACCCCGTTTTTATTGTGAAAACTTATTACCAAAATGAGAAATGTTTTGCTGAAACTCCAAGAAGATGTCGTACGCATTTCGGAAGAAATTTAGCATCATTTTTTAAAGTTATTAAGAGTTTTATGAAGAGATTTCAACAGCGAAATCGCAGAATATGGGGTGAATTCTAAAGAAATATTGGAACAACGACTGTATCCAGTAAATGTGACTGTGTGGTGTGGTTTTTGGCCTGGTGGCGTTATTGGTCCTTAGTTTTTCCAGAATGAAGCTGGTGATGCGTTGACTGTGAATGAAGCGCGATACGGGACAATGATTAGAGATTTTTTGTAGAACGAATTAGAAGGTATGGATCTCCAAAACATGTGGTTTCAGCAAGACGGTATCAATTGCCAAACATGGTATAAAACACTAAATCTCTTAAAGGAGAGATTTGGCAATCGAATAATTTCTCGAGGAGCTGAGGTTAATTGTTTGCCTAGCTCGTGCGACCATACGTCATTCGATTATTTCTTATGGGGTTTTTTGAAGAAACAAGTTTGTGCTAATAATCCTCAAACACCTGAACAGCTTCGAGTTAACATTATTCAAAAAATTGAAGAAATTGAACAGAATGTTTGCGAAAATGTTATTAAAATTTATGGAAAAAGAATGTTAGAATTGTCCATATAAAAGGTAATTTGTGTTTTAAATTACAAAATTAACAATAATTTTATTATTTTGTGTAATAGAAGAATTTAATATTAATAAAAAACAATCTTGAGAAGAGAGCTAAAGTTAAAGACTCACTATAATCCATAATAAAATATAAAATATTATTTTGTGTCTCTAAATCAATATAAAGTAAAATACATCCAACTGAGCTTAGCTCATATAGAGAAAGGTTGATGTTGGAAAATAAAACAAACCAAATACAAAAAAAAAAAAAAATTCAAAACAATAAGTAAATGTCTATGTTTATAAATATTTTTTGTGGAGTTATATATTGGACACAAACTTTGATTGTAAACCCGAAAGAGTTCTTTTGATTTTATTAAAATATTCTTACACATTGCTGTACTAATTTACTGAAAATGAACGTATGACGATATATAGATATACATTCACGGAATTTTCTTGTTACCGCTATAATCAGATGCGCGATCGAACTATGCAAAATACGTGCACTGCCTTGGGCTTTTCTTAGTTTGCATGAAGAATTTCAACATAATCTCCAGTGAGAGATGAACACATAATAGTACCTACTCCTTTTTTTGCACATATTTGAAACGTTAGTAATTGATACTTCAGTATTATTATCGACAGTAAAAATGATAAACTTAATAGTTTAATTATTAAGCCTTTTACAATTTACACTATATATTACAGGGTATTTTAAAATTATTGTTCTACAATGAGTTTAAAGAATGTAGAACATTTCAAAGAAACAGAGTATAAAACGAATACAAAATATACAGGGTGTTTATTAAGTACTTGTACAAACTTAAAATGGTGAATCTTTGACTTATTTTAAGGCAAAACGTTCATATAAACACATGTCCTAAACCTCTTAACTTTTGAGCTACAGGGTGGTAAAGTTTTCAGAAAAAAAATTTTTTTTTCTAATAACTGTTGCAGATATTTTTACGAAATTTGGTACACGTCTCCTACGCATTATGATGCATTTTATAATGTACAAATAATTTTAATATTTCTACCAGTGGCGCCCGTACGGGTTTCGTATTAAATATTTTCGCCGAAAAAAATAGTACGCCACTGCTTCATCTTAAAATAACAAATATTTTTGCAGTCCTCATTTAGTTTTGAGCAAATTTGGTCTGATGAGTTTTTTCTCTGACGCATGGTTTTCGTTCGACGCATAGTATTTTGCATGGAACAAGTGAAAAATGTGTCTTTTATTGATCAATATTGTTATGTGATAAACTTAGATTATTTACAGACTAATACTAAACTGCTTTTACAAATAAGTTAATAACATTTACAACAATTGGTGAAAATGCCCGCCGCCTACTGCAACGCATGCGTCAATTCGCCTTAACATTGATTGACGTACTCTTTCGAATATACCTGGTGTCTGATTAATAATGGGACACGATTCAAATATCCTGTTTCTTAGATCTTGCTCATTTTGAACGGATGTTTTGTAAACTAGTGTCTTTAAGTGACCCCACAGAAAAAAATCCAGAGGATTTAAATCTGGTGATCTTGGGAGGCCAGGCTTGCGGTCTCGCTCTTCCTATCCAACGATTAGGATAATTCTCGTTCAGAAATTGACGTGCAGCCAAACAAAAGTGTGCCGGTGCGCCATCGTGCATGAATTTCCTGTTTCTGGTAGCCAAATCAATATCTTCTAAATGTTCAGGAAGCTCGTGCTCCAAAAATCTTCTATACTCTTCGCCATTTAGCCTTTGTGGAAGAATACAAGGTCCAATAAGGTGATCCTCGATAATTCCGACCCAAATATTTAGAGAAAAACGATCTTGGAAATTATTTTCTATGATAGCATTGGGATTATCCTCAGACCAGATATGGTTGTTGTGGAAGTTCATGATGGCGTTTCGAGAAAAAGAAGCTTCGTCTGTAACAAGTACATGGTCTAAGAAATACGGGATTGTTAATAATTTATTTCGCAGCCAAACGCAGAAATCTACTCTGAGAGGAAAATCTCTAGGTAGTAATGCCTGTACACGTTGAATATGATAAGGATAAAATTGTTGAGATTATAAAATT